TTTCCAGAAAACCAGTCTCTGGAGGCCTAGCAGCACGTCTCATGTTGATATTCGGAATCAGCATGGTCGACTACCTATAGTCCACTAGGTTTCGGCTCGAAAGTGATCGGACAGTTGGGGACCTTCCCTCGTCAGTTTTTTTTTAATAACTTTTTTCTTTTTTGATCGCGTAGACTTAAACTCCCTTTTAAAAGATCTACCAGTTCATTCTCTAGAGAAAACATACCAAACATTTTTCTATTTACCATAAAAATATAAGAGTAGAGAGAAGATACTGCGAAGATTCAATCTTGACAATTTTCTAATTGGAAACGTACAAGGGAAAAGAGTATTTTGAACACAGTGCCATGCAACAACATTTTCGCCAGCACAAAGGGTGATTTTATCAAGATTCACCAGGAAAAGAGGGAATTTGACTTTTCGCCTTAGTACACGAGAAGAAACTGAGCTATTGAACTTTCTTTTGTAAGTATGAAAAATTTTTAAAGCTTTTTTTTATCTCTTCAAGGACTACTAAATGTCTGTCTTCTCTTTTGTATATCTCAAAATATGAAGAGTTTAAATCCGAAAAACTGTCTTTTAAGTCGAGATTAAACATTAGCAATATCTTTTCTATACTCTTATATTTTTACAGTATATAGAAAAATGTTCGATATATTTTCTATAGAGAATCAAATGATGGATCTTTTAAAAGGAAGTTTAAGTCTACCCGATCAAAAATGAAAAAATTATTTTAAAAAAAGTGGAGAGAAGAATTATTTCTGAAGCACCCATTATCATTTTGAATCATCGGCGTTCAGCTATTACGTCAGATTTGTATTTTGAAAGAACTTCTAGTTTAGATAAATCAATATTGACTATATTCTCTTTGAAAGTTTATTGACATTCTCGAAACAAAAAATATTTTTATTGTAATTAACAACAAATATATTACACTTTTTTAACAACATATTATTAATGAAAAACAATAAATAAAATATAATATATGATCCAAAAGAAATAGAAAAAATGGTGAATATATTTTGTTTTCTTCAAATTCTTGATATATTTGAAGATAAAAAGTCATTTTTCTGTTTGAAAGAGCAAAATTTAAAGTAAAAAGTCTGTATCAAACAATTTTTCTATCTAGAAAAATTTTATTTAGAAAATAATTTGCAAGGCAATCATTGATACGGGGTAAATTGAAAAAGAATTCATTGTTAGATGTAAGAGTGTTTGAAAAACTCTTTTCGATAGAATATTCAATGTTCGGATTTTTATGAGAAAATGATCAGTTTACTGATATATATAATCGATACAAAAAATACTTTTTATTCTGTTGGGCTTATTTTTGAAATCATCTTTTAATTTTCTATAAGTTGACATAAAAATCAATGAGTTTCAACTTATTTTTAACGTTGTCATCACTTTTCACCTTGTTAAAAAACTGTTTGATACAGATTTTTTACTTAAAACTTTGCTCTCTCTCAAACAGAAAAGAATTTTGACTTTAAGTATAGCAGAAAATCGAAAAAAACCTAACACTGTCTCGCCATTTTTTCTCTCTCATTTTTACAATATATTTTAATAACAACATAGAACAGTAAAGTAAAAAAATCTCAATTTGTCACTGTAAATGAGATGGCACATTTCTGAGATAAAGCTGACTAACATCGTATGAGACTACTTGATGATATATTCGTACAAGAAAAAGAGAATTTGACTAGATAAAATTACTAGAAAAAAAATCTACCAAAAATTAGGATCATCAATGATTCCCAATTTATTTCCTAATCGACGAAATTTAGCTCGCACTTCTTCTTGCATCAAATTGAAACACATTGCCATCAAAGATAAACCCAACAAAACATATAGGGCACAAATAACTAACTTTCCTTCAACTTGTGTAGATTTTATCGATTTACCTGGAACCAAATCACCTAAAATTCATGTAAAAATAATCATATTAGTTTTATATGTTGTAATCAATACACGATCTCATTAATCTAATGATGTTTACCTAATCCAATCGTTGCTAATGTAACAAAGCAAAAATAAGCTCCATCTAAAAATTCCCAATTTTCCCATTTACTGAATAATAATGCTCCCAATATCAAATATGATGATAATAATGATAATGTGATACTAATTGGAATTGTTACTTTTCGATAATCAACAGATAGACTATCGACAATTTCAACAACATTTTGTGGTGATGATGTCGTTACAGTTGTTCCTGGTTGTTGTAGATCAATATGTGTACTAGTTGTTTGATCATCGCTCGACACATCACCATCTCGATGATAATGTGATAATGAATGACGCTTACGATTAGTAGCCATTACGTTTTTATTAATCTTTGGTGTTGATATATTAGGAATAATATTATTTGTTTTTGTCGGATATAGTCCACTATTTAATCCTGATGTAGGACTATGTGATAGTTCAACCGATTGTAATGCTCTTATATTTCGCTTTTTCTTCACCATATTACAATATGAACAACAAACATTACAATAACTAAATCGAAAAGCATCGGCCATTGTCGAGCCAATATTAGCCAAACATAACAACATTAACGGAATACCAAATATAGCATAAAGAATTGTGGCAACTTTACCCACATTTGTTTTACTAAACAACGCAAACAAAGTAGCTATACAAAATATTAATAAAATTCTATCGAAGACTTACCATGTTATATGTCCATAACCTAGAAAAGTGTAAAATGAAGAAATTTGAGTAGTCAAATCGAAGAAGTTTGTTGAGTTGGATGCTGCGGTACACTGTAATAAATGTAATCTCAAAAACAAAAATTATCTACGTATTAATCTTTTAACAAAGAGCTACGGTAGAATACATACTAGGTAAATTTTGAAAAGATTTACACAGATAAAAGGATCAAACGTTTTCCTCTGTAGGTTCAGATAACCTCATTTACACATGCTGCGCTAACTGTACTTAAGTGGGACCTCCCCTCAGGAATTCGATGCTTTTTTCGAAACTTTCGAAACTGAAGTAACCATACGGTTCAGTATCCCAAAGTGTCATCTTTCAGTTTGCCAAAAATTCAACGTTTCTGGAGGTTTTTGAAAAAGATTTCTGAAAGCCCTAAAAATCACCATTTCTACATTTCACATTTTAATTAAAATTTTTAAGATTATCCGTTTTAACAGACATGGAGCTATGTTGAGCAGAGTGTTCTGATCAGAATGAGATGTCCAGCAGCTTTGTATGACTTTGTCTTGCAGAGTTATACTAGTTTTGCTAAAGGCGCTGAACTATAATTAATGAAGTGGTGACGTCATTGCTTAGATTATGGTTTTGGCGTAGCAAAGTTGAATCTACTCCTAGACGATTCGTTGTAAAAGCTTCATTCTTTTTTATTTTGAAGCTAAGACATTTATCTAAAGTTTGGTCCGCGGCGATTTTCGATTTTTATTTTCTGTGCAGAGATAAGTGGGAAATATTCCGATGAATTAGGGTTATTTTCAGAGGTCTGACTTAAAATACATGTAGAAAATGAACAGAAGCAAAATTCAAAAATCGCCGCAGATCAAATTTTAGATTTAGGTGTCTACTTTCATTTAAGGCCTCTCGCAGTTTTCTGCACCTTCCAACAAAAAAGCCTTTACGTTATTGCTAAGAGTCTCATGTTGCCCCCTGTCACGCAATAACTCGGCACCGCTTCAACGTGTCGATTTTGAATTCTTAGTATAAACTAATAGGACAGTAAGTATTAGTCACTGAAAGCAGCATCGAAATCGAACGTAAGATAAAAATGTTTTTCCATGAGAGAGGGAGTTCCCCTTCAGCTATTATAAGGATTTTTTCCTGTTCCTGTAATAATAAACAAATATACTCATCTTGAACTGATTTCATGTGTTCCCTAGTCTACTATCATTGTATCAACTTTTCTCTTTGACAGAAATCAACAAGACAGGCGTTATTATCATAGTTTGTAATTTGATGATATAACAATTTTTTTCATACTGATAGATAATGCGTAAATTACCATTGGTTTGAATGAAAGTTTTAGAGAAACTCAAATTCAGAACAAAATTTTCGAATATATTTTTCTTTTTTTGGATTCTAAATATCTTTAGAGCTTTTAGAAAATAAACTTCAAAAAGCTTTAGAGACCTTTGATATTGGCGAAAAACAGTGTAGATTCTAGGAGTAGACATCCTAAGCTATCCAAAACATGCACTTAGCTTGATATCAACTTTTTACAGAGCAAATCTGTAATTTTAACAAGGGGCAGCAGCGTAAAATGTTTACTTTCTTTGAATCGAAATAATCGGTGACTCATAATGCGTCCATTGTATCATAGTGATATTTCAGCTTTTATTTGAACATTAGATCTTGAAAAATCATACTTACACAAGGTATGTCCAAGTAAAAGTTTTCTTTAACGTAGAACATTCACGTTTTGTAAAAGTGATAGATCTTCTTTCGAGTAACATATAGAGTTAGAAACGTCTTATTCTTTATCTCAAAGTAGAAATCAAGCAAAGTTAACTAACTACTTCTTTTAAAAAGTAAGATTTGTCTGAGAGAGGAAAACATTTATGGCTATAAAATAAGACATTCTCAATTGTATAAACTATTTGAATGAATAGCTGAAACTTTGACAAAACTTAACTGATTTTCGTCGACTGACAAGCTGTACACATACCGATCTGAAAACCTATGTATTTTTCGATTCATTAGAGAGCATTTCGCATCATTTGTTGTTATAAATGCGAACATAATTTAATTTAATTGCTAGAAAATTATGTGAAATACATGAATATAGAGATAAGATATGTCGGATTTAAAAAGATTATAATTAACCATTTTAATAGACGAATTATGAGTTTTTTTTCTGATTCTGAAATTTATTTATTTTTTAATCTTCACCCTTTTGCTCTAATATATATCTGAACAAAGAATGCATAAATGGCAGATAAATTCGGAAATATTAGTCGGTATCTGAATTTTTCTAAAACTTTAATTCAATTGATTGCGTTTCTTCAACACAATAGATATAAACAAAACAAGAGACCTTTTTTTTGGTCATTAATTTAAAGACTAAGACAAGAAAGTACAAGTTTTTTTTTCAAAGCTTATCTAATTAATATACTGAATAATAAATCATTTAAATCAGACATATCAGTGTTTCTAATACTTGCTTGTAAACAATTAAATTAATATTTCCTGTTGACTTTAGCTTCAATCGGTACAGATCACTAAAACTATTCTTCTATTTTCGAGATTTTAATGGAAAAAAAAATTAGCATCAATTTTTTAATCTTAAAACGTCTATTTATTTTAAATCGTTTAATATAAAGAGATTGACTACATACCTATTGTTGTTATAACTGTAATCGCATAAAGTATGGCACCCGGAAAATTCCATTGTTTATTATCATCTGGCTGTCGTTCACCTTGATAACCTCGTTTAACAACATGTACTAATTCAATTTGATATTCTTCTAATATTTGTCTAGCCATTAATGACCAATTACTATGAAATAATACTGCTGATTCAATACTACGATTAAATAATTTTTCAACTGTTGTATTTAAACGTTTTTGTGCACTAACTATTTCTTTTTCTTCATGACTAGCTTCAATAAATTGAAATAACATTCCACCACCAAATGCATAAGCAACTATCAATAAACATAATCCAACACGTGAAAATATAAATGTTGTAACCGATTTACAACAATTTTTACAACGTTCCATTCGTTCCAAATGTACATTTGTTGGATGTATTTCCCGTTGTAAATCACGTCGTTGTGCTTCATCTCGACGTCGTTTCCTACCAAATCGAAAGAAAAACATATATTTTTAATTAAGTTTTTCTCAAAAATAGAATCAAGATTTTTCAAATAATTTTTAATAATAGTGATGATCGTATATATTATTTTATTCGCATGATAATAATAAAGAAGAAAATATGTACAATTCATACAAGTAATAATAACAACAGATGAAAGAATATCGACGAAGATCATCGTCTTTTTCACGTAAAGTGATTTTTGTTTCTATCATATGTTTGTTCTATTTACGATACTGGAAATAGAAATCTTTTTTTATTTGCTATCTATATTTATCATAATAAAAAATAAAAATAAAAAGTACAAATTAGATTCTATGTTTAACATGTGTTTCTTTAACGATCGGGTAGATATGCTACTGAGGGAAAAAAAAATAAACACATTAAGATATAGAAAAAGATATTTCTATAATGTCCGAAAATAGTTGCATCTATTGATTGCCCATTTTATTAGCATCTAATACAGGTTTTTGACTAATAATAAAAATTATGCAATGAAGATAGAACATCTTTTAATATTTTCTTCATATAAAACCTCAGCAAATAAATGTTGAAAAATTCGCTTTGGTCGCATTCAGTTAGACTAGATTACAGAAGTTAGATTGATCTAGATCTCATAAATAGGAGATGTTGACTGTCATTGAAAGCTCTCTCTTTGGTAAATTCAAGATTTTATTTCTACTTTAAACATCTATAAAAAATATATAAAAGTATCATTTTTACATCACAAAAAAACATGAATTTAAAAAGATTTTGTTTACTTTCACACATGTAGCTTGCGTTTAGTCATACGTAGTGTAACTTAAAGCTGTATTTCTCTAAAAAATACTCGTATGTTCTGTGTATATTATCGTTATTCATGTAGAAAGAAAGTTTATCTATCCCATATGAAAAGCGTGCATATAACTTCTAGATGAATTAACAAGGAAAAAAAATCATATAACTGTTTACTATACTATTTTTCATACACATTATAGCGTACCTCGGTGTATTCTGGGTCACTTATTATCACTTTTCCATCTAAAAGTTCAGACTACGAAAGAGTACATCCCGCCATTTAACAAAAAACCAACAAATCTCAATAAATTCTTGTATTCTATACATCTCTTTTTAATGGAAAACATTTAACATATTTACGTTTTCGTTCATATTTTATTGAGCCTATCAATCTCTTCTTTTTACACACGTATATCATTAACAACATCCTTCTTGTGATATATAAAACGTATACGTATGAACAATAATTCTATAAACGGATACTTTATTACAACAAACATAAATATTACATTTTTGTGTGTAGGTTATGCTCTTTTAGCATTTTCTCCCTCTTTATTCTTACTTCCATCTAAAGATGTCATTAATGTATACCCGTAATTAATCTAAATGTACATTTTTACTTTCTTTATTTGACGATGATTATCACTTTTTCTTTCAGCTCGATATGGACTTTCATAAATAATTCGAAATGACAATTAATCATTATCGCATCGTTGCTCTACGCTTATCACACTTGTTTAAACGAATGTTCGACGTTTTTCAACACTTTCGTGCTTTTGTCAATGTTAATATATATTTCACGCCAATTAAACTCTAACACGCTGTAATTTAGTTTTTATAGTTGCCAGCTAACTCTGCTACCGTAACAGAATTCCGTAGCGGCTTTTCATCATTTTGTTTTGCCTACAATTCCTAAACTGACTAGTCAGTTTAACTGAGTGTTGCGAGACATCTTAAATTGAAGGGAAAACTCTGGTTAACATTTTAAGACGTTTTTCATCCTCATCACATGTATAGTTAAGAAACATTGGACACTGATTTTTAATTTTTTTAATTCAATTTTGCAAAACTAGTGTCCAATCTAGGACTGTAAAGGTTCCCGTTACGTTGATTTAACGCTAACTATTCTTTTCGTTACCGTTAAAGTAACTGTCTTTCCAGTTAGCGTTAAACCAACGGTAACTGAAAAGACAGTTACCGTTACCTTAACGATAATTGCGTTTCCAGCTACCGTTGAAATAACGGTAACTACCAGTTAGTTTATGGTAACTATTTTTTAAGTATGGAAAAAATATCGGTTTAAAATGGCTTCCAAAATTGTTAGTTTTCCACTAAAACTGTTGAAATTTTCATAAATGACATGGTTTTGATTGGTATCAACCAACTAAATTAATCGAAATATATAACTTCAATGTTTTGTAACTGAGGTTTTTAAGGTCTCTGGAGACCTCGGCATCTACAGCCAGCTTGAGAAATCTTTTTTGTTTTCATCAACGAAATTAGACTACAAAACCACGTCATTTATGAAAGTTTCAACAGTTTTAGTGGAAAACTAACGATTTTGAAAGCCATTTCAAGCCGCTGCGTGGATATTTCTGCCATACTTAAAAAATAGCTACCACAAAGTTAACTAACTGATAGTTATCGTTATTTCAACGGTAACTGAAAAGACAGTTATCGTTACTTTAACGGCAACTGTTTTTCTAGTTATCGTTGCCGGTAACAGTCGAAGAAGTAACGGGAACTTTTACAGTCCTAGTCCAATGTTTAGGTTACAGCTTCTTAACTATACATGTGATGAGGATGAAAAACGTCTTAAAATGTTAACCAGAGTTTTCCCTTCAATTTAAGATGTCTCGCAACACTCAGTTAAACTGACTAGTCAGTTTAGGAATTGTAGGCAAAACAAAATGATGAAAAGCCGCTACGGAATTCTGTTACGGTAGTACAGTTAGCTGGCCCGACCAAACGGGCATTTGAATGCATTGGTGAGTATGCTTAAAAGAGTATAGATGACAACATCTTGCTTCCATGCAGCTGTACAGTAACTGGTGAACAGTTCTAACAAGTGTCACTTTCAATAGACTCAGATCTTCACGTTGACAAGCTTCTCACATGGTCATCCATATCACCACTATTTATCAATTTCAGTTCTGGCTAAAAGGCTAGTGTGATGTAGCGTTCTTTCACTTGAATTCCCTATACTCACTAGCCACGTCGACATAAGCAATGATCAAAGTTACTACGCGAGCTGTGGACGCCGAGAATCGAAGGCAGTACTAATGAAGTACGTGACGAACAACATGATCACCAAAGCAGGCAATCAAAAAATTGTCTATATCATAGGGTTAGTTTGATATGCTGAGAATAGCACTAGAAAAAGGATTTGAAACTGGAGAAGAAATCCCATAATAATAAGACCCTTTATTAAAGTTTGTTATTAATAACACACAACATCACATTCCCAACATATCGGGAGAAATTGTAGGATTCGGATAAACTCATTAACTAAATGAGATAATATACAAAATATACACGCTATACACACATTTCAATTAACATAAAACCGTTGCACAGGCTTCAAGATGAGTTGAAGATGATGTCATCAATTGCAAAAAAATTACTCATGTTTTGAACAGGCTCATACGATAATATAAATCCAAGCACACGTGGTATCATTCGTATTATATTAACTAATTTGAACAATGACACTTACCAAACTCTCTGTTGAGAATTATTTTCAATTGAATTAATTGTATTCTCAATATGGTTTGAATTAAACAACAGATTATCGTATGAATTTGATACACGTTTTGATTGTTTCCGTTGTGTATTAATTTTACAACTATTCGTTGTTTCAAACAACATCGTATTAGAAAATTTGCATCTTTCTTTATCAAATAACAATGGATTGTTCTTTTTTTGACAAAATTTTTATCACCATGACCAAGCGTATGAAAAATTAGCCAATGTCGCATTAACATCATTTCATCTCACTCAATCTTGTCTAATTATTCGACAATCAGTTTTTTATTGTTTGATACAATAAATAATGTCTATTCTTATCGCTAAGAAACCATCATAACACATAAAAAAACCTAATTTCTCTCTTTTTTATATAAAAAACAAATTAATAGTACTCTACCATTTTATTCTGTCAAAAAATATCAGACAAAAGAAAATCATAAGAAACATTCTTTCTTAAAGTTAGAAAACATTATTTCTCTAATAACACCAATGAATATTGTTAATTCACACTTGAAGGCATAAAGAAATAAATGTAGATAATATTAAGTATGTGAGCTTTCTTTAACCTAGAGGGAATATAATGTAAACAAAACATATTTCTAGTACGCATTCAATGCAAAGATGTACGGTCTACCAATGAAACACTGACACACATATTTATACTCTTGTCAAAATAAAATAGTGTCATCATTAAATCGAAGTGACCTGTATTTTTCAGCTAACATAAATGAGTATGAGAACAAGACGTTTAGAAAACAAGTTTTTTGTTTAACTCAATATCATGTGCAATTGTCTGAAGTATCAAACAAAATTGGGAGGTCCATTTTTAAAAAAGAAAAGTTGATTATGTTTCCATATCGGATGTGACTGAAATGATTTTATTCTTGTACTATATTCACTTTTTATAAATATTAAAGATCATATTGGCGTAGTCAGCTAACTCTGCTACCGTAACGGTTTTCCATCATTTTTGTTTTGCTTACAATTCCTGCTTACAACTGACTGCTGTTGAGTGTCGGAGGACATCTTAAGCTGAAGAGAAAAGTCTGGCTAACATTTTAAGACGTTTTTCAGCCTTATAACATAACATATATAGTCAAGAAGCTGTAACCTAGATATTGAACACCGGTTTTTAATTTTTTTTGATTTAATTTTTGCAAAACTAGTGTCCGTATGTTTAGGTTACAGCTTCTTAACGATATACATTGTAAGGCTGAAAAACGTCTTAATATGTTAACCAGACTTTTTCCTTCAACTTAAGATGTCCCACAACACTGCAGCAATCAATTTAGGAATTGTAAGCAAAATAAAATGATAGAAAACCATTACGGTAGCAGAGTTAGCTGACCACGCCAATATGTTTATTTAAAATAAATCACTAGAATTTATATTCTTTGTATTGTGTCTCATTTTTCAAGATAGCGTAGTGTCATTGTTTTTGAATGATCACTTTTCTCTTATTAAAAATTAAAAATCTCAAAAATAATATTTTAAACTTACAATTTTGATACACATTTTTTGACATGCTCACTCAATGATGTTCCAATTTGTTAATAATACACTTACATAAATGTTGACTTTTAATATAATGGAATAAATTAAAAAAAAAATCTATCACACGTATCTGTCTTCGTTGTCTAATTAATATAAAGAAAATTATCTGATTGTCTCATCATCATTTTTTCACCAGTTGATGTTATCGATGTTCATATGTGTAGAACAATAATATTATGTATTATATAGTTGTCTCTTTCTTTTCATTATGTAGGAAAGTAATCAATGTAGTATGTTAAACAAAGAAAAGTTTTGATGTCAAGAATGTATTAATCTCATATTAAAAATAATTGGATTTTTCACTCAACAAATAATCATGAATGATAGGAGTGGACGTGTACAAAATAGAGAGAAATATTGTCAGAGAAAGTGATGATCGACAAGATAAAAAAGACAAGTAGAAAATCATAACTTCCATTATTAGAAAATTATTATTAAACCGAATAATCTATTCTCGTAGGCTCATGCCTACGAAAATAATGGGTTACCCATAAAGAATATTGGTCTCACTATTTTCGTTAATATTTCGCTCAGTTTTCATTGTCAAGACTTTAACTTTTTTAAAAAAGATTCGTCGTTTCATTCTCTATAAAAAGCATATTGAACATTTTTTTATATATCGCAGAAATAAAGGAAGATAGGTGAAATACTGCGAAGCGTCAGTTGTCATTACTTTCTAACTCAAAACACAAGAAAAAGATATTTATTTTGAACATGAAACTATGCAACAAACTGAACTGAAATTTATTTTACACAAAGGCAAGATATCACAAAAAAGCACCAAAAGAGCTATCGAACTTCTTTGTTCGAATATAATAGAAATTAATTTGCTTTAAGATAAGACATATTGGATCACAAAATATTTGATTCTGACCGATTTATATAAATTTTCGCAAATGCCACGAAAATTGCTGTTTGAAAACGACAATTTTTAATAAAATCGATATAAGCAAAAATTTCTCTCACAACGAATTGCGATTATGAAGAGTTTTAAACATAGTCAATTGAGAGAGCTTTTTAATGACTACAAAACGGTCATCTTCTCTTATTCTGTATCACAAAATACAAAGAACAACAATTGAAAAACTATTTTTTAGGTTAGAAAGTAATGGGAAGTGAAGCTTTGCAGTATTTCACCTATATTCTTTTATCTCTACGATATATAAACAAATATTTAATATATTTTTTGTAGAGAATGAAACGATGAATCTTTTAAAATCAAGCCAAAATTTGAGAGATGAAATTTGAAAGAGATATTGATAAAATACTGAGACCGTCATTCTTTATGGCCCACCCGTTACATAGGAAAAAAAAGATTCAGATATGTTCAGATCTTTCCAATAAATACTGAAGAAATAATACGGTGACAAAAATGTCGTAGGTTTGTATAAAGTCAGTTATTAAACTAATTACTCTAGAAAATTTTTTTAATGGCAATACTTTTACATGCGTGCGTATCAATGTGACTTTATTCAGTGTTTTTGTCGATAAAGTTTTTGTTTTACGATCGGTTATACTAAAGAAGACGACAAATTAAATTTTTGGAAAAATAATTTTGAACAGAATTTAATAAGTACTTGACAAGAAACAGCTACTTCAACAGACTGGATTTCGGGCGGGGAGAGGAGGCAATAAATCAAAGTTTCTACTCCGAAAATGGTAATGAAACGAGTACGAGAAGTTAATCAATTCCTTTCACTTCTTTTCCACATCGATCTTGATTTTGTTATGCAAATTGAGTTAGAGAAAGCTGGATCCGTTGGTATAAAGGTCACTGATCGAACATATTCGTTTACCCATTTTGAGAGCGATAAATCTAACAATATGAAAATGCTCGATCTGTTATACGCCGACAATATCGTTGAGGTATGTAGGAATCTTCATATCTAGATTGTAACATTGCTAGAGATCAGACACACCAAAAAGAGATCCAGATCAACGGCATTCATTATATTAAAACAAGTAATATGGTATTGAAAATTAGCGATGGGTGAGTATACACTTTTTCCAGTACGAGTACAAAACAATTTTATTCGAGTACAAATTTTTTAAAAAGAATGTCATGGCGAATCATGTCGATCAGTCTCATTTATGCCTAAATATCAACATGGAAATCTATGCTAGTAAATAAAAAGTCAAGATAGACTTCTGTAACATAATGTGAAAATGTTAACATGAATAATATTGATGAGGAGAGTCGTTGTGAACGCATGATGAATTCACTTTGAGAGAAGATTGTTTCTATTGGTGCTGATGTCACAGGTACGGTAAAATACCTCAGGAGTAATTTAGTTAAACTTGAAAACAATTGTTGTTTAATTAATATAAGATTGTTGTTCATTGTTTCTTCTTTTAGAAAATTAGCCAAATCTGCCAAAATAGTCGAAGTTGGACCTAATATTCTTTTCGACTGATTTGGCAGATATAACAACAATTTTGAAATGTTTTCGTTTATCACTAACTAGAGAACTACCTATGAGGTTTTCTTTTGGTTGATCGGGTAATCGATCCGTCACAGCTCACGGCGACTGCGATCAAAACTATGAGTGTGCACCATGAAATCGCAGTTTTCTCTCCAATCGCGATGAGTTGCGACAGATCGATTAGCCGATCGACCGAAAAAAACCTCATGGGTATAATATCAGTCAACTGTTGTTCTACCGTCGTTTTTTCTGCTCTACTATCTTTTGGTAAAACTTGACTATCTGCCCAACATTATTTTATTTTAAAGCGAAATAGTTCTTCTTCTTCTATTACTCCCTAACAGAAAAAGTCGAATAGTTTCATTTCTTTTTCTGTGCAAACACGAAGAAGTCAAATTTTGCCTTTTCCGATGAGTTTTAATAAAATCACTTTTTATGCCAGAAAAAACACATTTAAAGCGAATGTATGATACACGAAAAGAAAGATGACACTTCCAAGCACAAGAATATACGTTTCGATTCCACTTTTATCCATAACAACGTATTAAAAATTTTTTTTTGTCGTTGTGTTTTTCGTTGGAAAGTAATGAAGATTGAAATCTTACAGTATTTCATCTATATTCCTTCATTTTTAGTGTATGTCAACAATTGTTTAATAAAACGGTAAACCTGTAAAAAGGAGAAATAACTCTATATTCTTAAAGGAAAACAAGTTATAGTCAAAATACACGTAAAAGTAAGATTTTTACAACGCTTTATATAAAGTCATTTGAATATTTA